CAATATCAATTCACTAAGTGTTGTTGGAAGTGTTCAAGGCTAAAATTGTGAGTAAAGGTTACTTTGTTTTTCTTGTCTTAATGGAACAATGTAGGTCTCACTTAGATGACTTAATTATTTTGGATCTTGAAGATAAGTTTAATTTCCCTCTAGTGGTTGAATTTTATTATGCCTTCTAAGCGGTGACTTAAGTGAGTCGATTGGGGAGTTCCATGGCGAAGATAAGAAATGTGAGTAAAAAGCTCAAGTGTGAGTTGATTTGAAATAATCATCTAGGACGTGGTACAAGATTTTGGTTAGTACCTTGTGAAAATCTAATACTTGAGATTAAGTTGGCTTCTCATTACTTGCTTCAAGGTAATATATATTTTGTGAAATTTCTACAATGTGAGTGTACTGTGGTTGTGTTGAGATTCGCATGTGATGTGATTGTAGTTAATAACTTTCTTGAACTTCTTAATCTTTCCAATTTGTTAAATTTTTTCACGAATTTGAATATGACATGTGTTTTATTATTTTGAGATTAATAATATCATTATGAGTTTTTGGTTTTTCCAAAGTCATACATGTTTCGTGATTAGAAAGTTTTTGCGATGATATGATATTTGTTGTTCATGTCATCATTTGAGTGGAATATGATTAGCATGAATTATGTGTACTTTAAAGAGGTATTAAAGTATGTCTTGAGTGGAGCATGCTAATACATTTATATATCAATGTGATAGGGACATGCATAGCATCTTATTTTAACATAGCATATATTTGTGAAATAGTAGTTGTAGTGCAATATTTTACAAATTTTAATAGTGGAAGACTAACGTTGTTGTTTAAACTCGCTTCATCTTTTACCAAGTATCTTTTTGGATACGAAGGTCATGAAATACACTAGCCTCCGGGAAAAGTGATTCATAAATTTTCTGAAAGCAAGTGTTGGAGATAGGTGGTTGATGAAGCATGTTCACTAATGTGACGGCTATGTTATTTTCAAGGATTGGACTTGATTGAGCAAAGTGTTGAAATTTCAAGTTTTTTGAGTTGTCTTGCTACTTTATTTACATCATGGTGTTTGTGATATTTTTTTAGCCATTTATGAAAATTAAGTTGATGTTGGTAACATGCTAGTTTTCCTTATTTGGAAAATATTCTAGCAAAATAATTTTGCACTATCGTAAGAAAATTTGGGACATGTAACAATCCTTAATAATTAGTTGAGCGAGGAAATGTCGAGAGGGATAGGCCTTAAGCCCATATGGAAAAGCATTACTTTTCTATCCCTATGACATGTGTTGTAATGCTTGATTGAGGTTGAACTCTTTTAAATTCTTAATAGATCAATAAACCATTTAGATTGGTGCTATTTGAGATGCACTTGATTGATCCATCGTTTGAGGTTGAGGTCTTTGACTCTTAATGAATACAAATGTTTGAGTGGATGCACTAAAGCATTGGAATCACCGTTATTTATGATTGTTGTGAGGTTGAGCATTAAGCTCTTAATGAATCCATGGTTTTGTGGGGGTTAATGGTTACAATGCAGCATTTATCGAGGAACATGTTTTAACCCTATTGCCAAGTGCTTTTGAGAAGTGCTTGTGATTCACCTATGTGGTTGTGAAGACTAGCCATCTTCTACGGAAAACTTGGGTAGATTTCCTAGATCTTCCACTAGACCTAAGGTGAATATGCTTGGCTATAAAAAAAGCATATATCTTCGTGGAGTTCAAGTAAATTTTGGAGAAAGGTATGTGATGTGGGGGTTTTTGAATTAAATCTTGGAGTTTCAAGGTTAGTCTACTCCTTGATCAAGAGTCTAAAGGTTTCAAGGTTTGTCCACTCTTATACTTGTAATTCATTATCTCATTTAACTAAGCACTAGATTTCAAATTACTTATGTAATATCTAAGTGTTATGTATTGATCTCCTCTTATGCCCAATATGTTTCTTCTCAGTTCATTGTTGTCTTCTTCTATCCCTTTAATGGGGGATTGTTGGAATAAAGGGAGGAAAAAGAGTTATCGCATAGAGCATCTGCCCGATCGGGCTAGCTGTGCTCGAGGAAGAATAACGAATATGCTGGAATCCCCGTTGCCCGATCGAGTGTGAGTGAAAGCCTTGAAACAGACCTTCGCTTGCCCGATCGGGTGAGTCATGCCCAGTCGGGCGCAAGGAACTTTGAAATTTGTCATATTGTTCCTGGATGCTCGCCTGGTCGGGCGAAGCCTTGCCCGATCGAGCGTGATAGTATCCGATGGAATTCCAACGGGTTTTTTTCCATTGGGTTCTTCCTTGATCTCTTAACGATCCTTTGTAACCCCCTCATTAAAGAAGATGTTTATGGTGATTAAATCATATTGTTTATTCTTATTTAATCACCCTTTTCATATCTAGCTTCATTCTCTTCATCTTACTTTCTTGGTTACAAAAAACTTGTTAATTATCTAAAATATACATACTTGAACATAACCTTCAAACACAAGCTTGGTTAAACATGTACTTTATATTGGGCATAGGTTACTTGGCTCCAACCTTCCACCCCGAAGTGTCTTTGTGTGGAAGTGGTGTGTTAACCTTAGGGAACGTGCCGGCGAATACAATTGTACACCTCGGTTGTGCCGCAATTTCGTTTTCAAATAAGTGAATTTGCTTCACGACACACTGTACTCTTTCTACTGTCATAAGATCATCTTTTCAATCTTATTGTTTTAACTTCATTGTAACCTTGAAAATATCTCTTTATTTTACAACATTCTAGACTTCTAGTCATTAGAGTCAGAGGGGGACCTTCCACTGGGGTCATTCAGGGCCTGGCCCCCGTAAATTATTGTAATTAATTAGTTGATGGACTAAAATACGGAGTAATCTATATTTACTTATAAAATATTTGGACATAGTGATACTTTTGAGGAAGAGGTTAAATATTTAAATTCCGGCCCCTCTAATGTTTTCGTCCAAGATCCTCCACTGATTAGAGTAACATGATAAGCTTGAGCCAGCTTATGGTATTACGGCAATTAGATTGAGTTAGTCGCATTGTGTAATCTTTAGTAAAGTCTGATTATTAGATAGGTGGGCTATGCGAGTGATTCAGATGACCCATTTGGCCGCCAGTTTGTACCATCGTACATATAAACTCTTGGTGTTGGCAAGTTCGTTGGCCTTACTTATATGTTACACAAAGTGGTTAAAGTGGCCTAGGTATGTTGCTTTATGAAATTAGCTTGTGTTCATAGCTTGTCCTTTCATTTTAATTACTACCTCCGTTACATATTATTTGCAACGATCAGACATTTTTCCTCTTTTATGTTAAATCGTTGCAAATAATATGTAACGGAGGTAGTATTATTTTTACTATTACGAGATAGAAAACGAAATATTTATGACTGGTTGGTCGCATCACTCTCAGTAAATCTACCATCACCACCTTAGCAAATTACTCGATGCAAACGGTGAATCTACCTCGTTCCATTTGTGATGAGATTAATAAAAAAAGCTCGGCGTTTTATATAAGGAAGTTCAACGGAAAAACAAATCATTTACTCTCCTGAGATATTCTAAAACCTTTAAGAGATAAAGGTGGTTTAAGACTTTGTTCGACACGTCAGGACAACTCAGCTTCCCTAACTAAACTTGGATGGAGACTTCTCACTGAGCCTAATGCTTTATTTAGAATTATGAATAGCATTTTATTAAATAGTGAAATTTTTCTTAAATTAAAGAAAATTTATGTCATAAATTGAGTGTTTTAAACTTCTTTATATTGACGTGCACAACCAAAGTTTTCTCTCTAATGATTCTAATTAAAAATCATAATTAAGTATTTACCAAAAAACGATTTTTGTTAGTTACTAGTCACTTTTATGAAATGTCTGTTAAATAAATAAAAAATCTTTATTGAGTAAGGACAAATTAAAGGAATTTAATTATTGAATAAAGAAATTTACACAAATTGCATGTCACCTGTCGTACATAACACATTTTTTTTCAATGTTTTTTCTGTCAAACGAATTTAGTTAGGTATTAACTAGTCACTTGATAAAATTAGATGAAAAAAAGAAAGAAAGAAAGGACATTTTCTAATTCTTGATCTTGATAACAGGTTGAACTAACTACAATTGTATAGATTGAAGATTTCTAGCCTTTGATAACGACACTGGAAACTAGTCACCCTACAAAGACAAGTTAGAGGCATCATTTCAAGTCCTAAATACTACTTGCATTGTGATCTTCCCCTGGCTTGCTCTGCCTATGGAATTTGCACATTTTCTAGGACATGTTCGTGTATACGAATGTAAGCAAGGGACCAAGATAGTTCAAACGACAATAGATTGCAATGAAGAGTTTATAACAGGAAAGATGATAGTTTACTAAAAAATGCTTGAGTTAAACTAGATGCGCGAATTCTTGCTTAAATGACTGTACTTGTGCAGCTGCGTTGTACTCATCACGTACTAGGGAATGCATGTTCTTTGATATGGTTAGAGCCTTAGAGGTGTTAAACAGGTTAATCGAGGAAGCGGGTTGAGTTACATGTTTGGACATAATCACCCACCAAAACACTTACCATTATAAAGATGTTATTTCGTATGTATACTCACAAGTCACATTTTTCAATATTTTCCACAAACCATTTTTTGGTAGTTATATTCTAGTCATTTAAAAATAAAACTGTTAATCAAAACAAATCTTTCTTGATTAAGGGTTAATTAAAGATTTTTTTAAATAAAAAATAAAATCAAGAAAGGGCATTTTCTAATTCTTGATCTTGATAACTGACTTAACTAACTATTACAACTGAAGATTAGTCGGTTTGTATATAAGTAACAACCCAAACACTTACCCTTATAAATACGCTTCTACATTACCATTCTAATTCATTTCATCATCAACCCATCATTTCAAACATTCTGTTTTTCCTCCTAAAAATTCCATCCATCTTTCTTTAGCTTGATTCCATTACAAATCTTTCTTTAGTTCTGTTTTGCTGTTATTCTTAACTAGCAATGGCGGGTTCGAGTTCAAGCCGAGGAGACAACGATTATACGGTTATGGAGACAGATCCTACAGGGCGATACACAAGGTACTGTAAGCTGATTGATGAAGGCGATAATAAAGAAGTCTATTTGGGATATGACAACAATAATGGCAGAGAAGTTGCTTGGTGTAGGAAATTTCTTAAACATAATGATCTTCGTACTTTGGTTAGAGAAGCTAAGTTGTTGAAGAAATTTAATCATCAGAATATAATCAAATGCTACCATTATTGGGTTGACGCTGAAACCACAGTTGAGTTCAATATGATTACTGAGCTTTATTCTGGGAATTTGAACGATTACATTCAGAAACATCAGGTTAAAGAAAACAGTCCTGAAATCAAGAAATGGTGTCAACAGATTCTGACAGGGCTTGATTTTCTTCACAGTCAAAATGAACCGATTATTCTCAATAATCTCAAGCGCGAAAACATCTTTGTTGTTGGAAATTCAGGCATGATTAAGCTAGGAGATTTGATTGGCACGACGATTCTTGCACCCAAGAGTAGTCCAAAGTATGATGCTATTATTACTCGAGTGATAGAGCGGTCTGAGTTATACTATGTTGGGTTGTGCGCACTACAGATGGTGAATAAGGATGCTGCAGACAGCACAGCGCGAACAATGGATATGAGGCTTTGGAAAAAGGTACAAGACAAAGGGCTTAAGAGCTTCATTGAAATGTGTGTGTTTCCTGCAGATGTCGGGACTACAGTAACTCAACTCCTGAAACACCCGTTTCTTGTGCCGAGGAATGCGCCTTCTGGCAGCACATCAGTACCACCTGTTGGGTCCTGGTCTACAATTCAACTGCAGCCTGCTACCATCACTAGTGCAGCTGCAGAGTCTGAAGGTGCTATCGACGACAGTAACACTCGCAATGCAGCAAGGTGATATGTCTGATGGGAGTGATTAAGATGAAATGTCTGTTCGTTTGCTATAGAATATAGTTGCTTCAGAAATCTGTTATATCTTGGCATGTCAGTAGCTTATTTCTAGATTCATCAGTTTATGTCATAGTTCTGAAATGTTCTGAATAATTCTAGGTATGTTAGTGATAATTAGTGTGTCAATAAGTATGATTTCTCAGATTTAGGTCCAACTGAGATTTATTGTTTCGTTTCTTGATTAATTTTCATTGTAATTGTCTGGTTTAGACAAATGAACATTGGTGTGTTAGTCATAAGAATTTAATAAAAACAGACACTGCAATTTGTATTTTCTTTCTTTATAATTAGTAGCTTTTATGTCTATTTTCTTTTACTTTTCAATCCTTTCATCTCTTCACTACTATAAGCACGGGCCATAAATTTAAGTCACCAGAATTCTTTAAATAAAGTGTTCAATTAAAGCAGATTAAGCTAGTATGACTAATTAGAGTAAGTTGACTAGAACTCTTTTATTAAAGTATTGTTCAACTTGAGCTAGCCGGGTCAAGTTAATAAGACTAATTAGAGTCAAATCGTAAAATTAAGTATGGTTTGACATTTCTCGAACCATATTCATATCAATTCTTAAAAATACAGTTTGACATTTCTCGAACCAAATCAATTATACAGTTTGACATTTCTCAAACCAAACCAAAGCATAAAAATACGGTTTGATATTTCTCGAGCCAAAATGTAAAAATACGGTTAGACATTTCTCAAACTAAACAAAATCATATTGATGTCAAATCGGACAAACATATAGTTTCATTAGTTGATCATAATTCTTATTTACATGAAAGTATCGCTCAAATTCAGGTTTTTAATTCTTATTTACACAAACTTACAAAGTCTATCACTAAAAGATATGAAGTACTTAAGTACTCGTAGTATAGATGGATACTTGTAGAGGCTTCAATAATAATTAAAACAAAGTAGCGGCATAATAATAAAAACTATTTCATCATAATTAAAAAATTAAAATCAAGAAAGGGCCTTTTCTGTTTCTTGATCTTGATAACTAACTTAACTAACTACAACAAATGGATAAAACAAAGATTAATCGGTTTGTATAGTATGGAACTTTGGATATAAAGTAACAAATAAACAAATACCATTATAAATACCCTTTTACACTACCATTCTAATTCATTTCATCATCAACTCATCCAAATTTCCTTCTGTTTTTCCTTCAATCACAACAAAAAAAAAAAATTCCATCCATTAGAATCAACTTGATTCCACAACTTTAGTTCTGTTTTGCTGTTGTTATTAACTAGTAATGGCGGCTTCGAGTTCACATGGAGACGATGGTACGATAAGGCAATACACAAAGTATGATAACACCATTGAACAAGGCGTATCAAAAGTGGTTTACAAGGGGTTAGACAGGGTTAATAACAGAGTTATTTCTTGGATTAAGAAGAATATAACAGAGCAAAATTATGATGGTTTGATGGATGAAGCTCAAGATTTGATGGATTCTGACCATCCTAGTATACTCAAATGCTACGATTCTTGGGTTGATCCAAACTCGAACACGGTTGACATGATTACTGAGTTATATTCTTGTAATTTGAGAGATTTTATAAAAAATAATCGCTTAATTTTAGATACTACTGCATTGCCAACTATCAAGAGTTGGTGTCGACAGATTCTTGAAGGGTTACATTATCTTCACCAACGAAATCCGGCGATTATTCTACATAGTATCAGGTGTGAAAACATTGTTGTTGGAGAAACAGGTTTAGTAAAGATAGGAGATCTGTGTGAAGCCGCGTCTATGGGTTGGGAAACACCACTTACTCCTGATGCTAGTGCTGATCTTTTTCATATTTCGCGGTCTGAGATATACTATTTTGGGATGACCGTGTTGCAGATGGTGACTAAGGAAGATGTAGAGAGGAGACTGGTTGATTCGCGTGTAATGCCTGCTGAACTAAAAAGAGTGAAAGATCAGCAGCTTAAGAAGTTCATTCGGAGGTGTCTGATTCCTACAAGTGTTGTGACTACTGTAACTGATCTCTTGAATGATCCGTTTCTTGCACCGAGTGATCCAATTGTGAGTGTTCCTGTGGATGATGAGAGGGATGTATTGCTGCTGCCGTCTGCTAGGGAAATCGACAGAGAGCGTGAGAGTTTCACGTTAGGAGGACAATTGATGGGACGACAAATGAGGGGCGGTGGTGAAGTGATACTCGGGTTCGTTACGGTAAAGAATTTCAGGGAAACATTTATGTATACAGTCAATCATGATACAGTTCAGGGAGTCGTGGAGGGTTTAAGACAACCACTTGAACTGTCTGATGTAGAGGCCGCATCGATTTCTGAGAGTATAGAGCAACTGATAGCAAAACTTGTGGCTGAATATGATAGCAATGAGGGCAGTAACAGTAACATTGTTTTAATCTTTGACAGTGTTTCATCTCTTCGGATTTCATCTACTGAGAGATCTGTTGTGTATCATCAGACAGGTGCCCCCCCAATCATAATGCCACACAACCAAGACGCGCAACAGGATCAGCAGCAGCAACAACAACAGAATCAGCATGGAGTGCCTGACGACAATAATGTAGCTGCATCTGATGAAGAGGTCCAACAGAACCAAGATGCGCAGCAGGATCAGCAACAGCAGCAGCAGCATGGAATGCCTGTGTTTCCTGACATCGATGCATCTGATGATGTTGAAGAGGGAATGCCTGTCTTGCCTGACATCAATACGTCTGCTGATGAAGAGGGAATGTCTGTCTTGCCTAACATCGACACATCTGATGATGAAGAAGCCCGACTGACAGCTAATGCAATGGGTCTGGCAAATCAGGAAACACTTGCAAGGTGAATCATCTGATCGGAGTAGATACAATGAGGGAAGTGGCAACAGGAAGACTCAATATGTAGTTGCATCAGAAGGCTCAGTGGTTTAATTGATTCTTTAGTACAAATTAGACTTTGGTTTATATCATAGTACAGGAATTTTCTGAATAATTCTACGTATTTAGTGATACTTCAGTGTTTCAATAAGTATGATTTCTACTAATAAGGTCTTTGTTGAGGCTAATAGTACAGAAATGTAATTAGTGTCCCAACATTGGTGTGTTACTTGTAAGATTTTAATAAAACTTGAGGCTATGCAATTTGTTTTTCTTTCTTTATAGTTAGTGTCTTTATGTACAATTTCTTTACTTTTCAATTTTCTCATCTCAGTTACTCTATAACTTACTATTATGCGTCTAATTTCATTACTTTTCAATTCAATCCTCCCTCGTCTCGTTACTCTATAACTTATTATTAAGCGTCTTATTAAGAACAGGGCCATGGGCAATAAATTTCTGTCACTAGAGATCTCAAATAAAACTCTTGAGCCGGATCAAGTTAGTATGACATTTAGAGCTTGCAAGTGTGTGGTATTATCGTGTCATCTCTAGCTAGTTCTCTACTAATAGGGTCTTGGTTGATGATGAGTCTAACTTTGACTATGTTTATGCAACCTCTACGGAAATTATTTAGTAGTATACACTTCGTCCTCTAAAATCAAAATTAAACAAACCAATTAATCAGTTAATAAAATTAAAAGGAAAAAAAAATAACAAAAAATCAAGAAAGGGCATTTTCTGATTCTTGATCTTGATAACAGAATGAACTAACTACAAGTGGATAGATTGAAGATTAATCAATTTGTTTATATTATGGTTTGTACATAATTAATAACCAAATATATTTACCATTTACCATTATAAATACAATATGTTATTTCGTATGTATACTCACAAGTCACATTTTTCAATATTTTCCACAAACGATTATTTTTGGTAGTTATCAACTAGTCATTTAAAATGTTAATCAAAAGAAATCTTACTTGAATACAGGGCTAATTAAAGTTTTTTTTTTTTAAAAAAAAAAAATCAAAAAAATCAAGAAAGGGCATTTTCTAAATCTTGATCTTGATAACTGACTTAACTAACTGTAATAACCCAAACACATGCTATTATAAATACCCTTCTACATTACCATTCTAATTCATTTCATCATCAACCCATTATTTCAAACATTCTGTTTTTTCTCCTAATAATCCTACAAAAATTCCATCCATCTATAGAAATCAACTTCATTAGCTTAATTCCATTACAAATCTTTCTTTAGTTCTGTTTTGCTGTTGTGTTAACTAATAATGGCGGGTTCGAGTTCAAGCGGAGGAGACAACGATTATACGGTTATGGAGACAGATTCGACAGGGCATTACACAAGGTACAGAAAGAAGATTGATGAGGACGATCTTAAAAAAGTTTATTTGGGATATGACAACATTAATGGCAGAGAAGTTGCTTGGTGTAAGAAAATTCTTAAACATAATGATCTTCGTGCTTTGGTTAGAGAAGCTAAGTTGTTGAAGAATTTTAATCATCAGAACATAATCAAATGCTACCATTTTTGGGTTGACGCAGAAACCAAAGTTGAGTTCAACATGATTACTGAGCTTTATTCTGGGAATTTGAAGAATTACACTCAGAAACATCAGGTTAAAGAAAGCAGTCCAGCAATCAAGAATTGGTGTCAGCAGATTCTGACAGGGCTTGATTTTCTTCACAGTCAAAATGAACCGATTATTCACAATGAGCTCAAGTGCGAAAACATCTTTGTTGTTGGAAATTCAGGCACGATTAAGCTAGGAGATTTGAGTATCGCGAAGATTCTTGCACCCAAGAGTAGTCCTCAGTATAATGTTGATTATGCTCGTAGGATGGAGTGGTCTGAGATAAACTGTGTTGGGTTGTGCGGACTACAGATGGTGAATAAGGATGCTGCAGGCAGCACACCGCGAACAATGGATATGACGCTATTGAAAAAGGTACAAGATCGAGGGCTTAAGACCTTCATTCAGGTGTGTGTGTTTCATGCTGATGTTGGAACTACAATAACTGATCTCCTGAAAGACCCGTTTCTTGGATCGAGGACTGCGCCTGCTGGCAGCACATCAGTACCATCTGCTGGGCCTCTATTTCAACTGCAGCATTCTTTCAACACTAATGCAGCTGCAGCTGCTTCTGAAAATGCCCGACTGATGGCGGAAAGACTCGCAGGGCAGCAAGGTGATCGAAAGTTCGAAACGTCTGATGGGAGTGATTAAGATGAGGGAAGTGGCAACATACAGGAAGACAGAGTATAGTTGCTTCAGAAATCTGTTAAATCTTGGCATGTCAGTAGCTTAATTCTAGACTCATCAGTTTGATTGTTTAGTACAAAATTAGACTCGTTTATGTCATTAATTTCTCAATAAATCTAGGTATGTTAGTGTCAATAAGTATGATTTCTCAGTTTATGTCCAACTGGGATTTAATTGTTTCGTTTCTTGATTAATTTTCATTGTAATTTTTGTGATTTAGACAAATGAACATTGGTGTGTTAGTTATAAGATTTTAATAAAAGCAGAGACACTGCAATTTGATTTTCTTTCTTTATAATTAGCAGCTTCATTTTATGTCTTTTTTTTCAAAAAAAAAAAAAATTCAATCCTTTCATCTCTTTACTATAATTAAGCACAGGCTATAAATTTATGTCACTATAATTCTTTAAATAAAGTGTTCAAATAAAGCGGATCAAGTTAGTATGACCAATTAGAGTTAATTGAATAGAATTCTTTGATGATTAAAGTGTTCAACTTAAGCTGGATCAAGTTAATAGGACCAATTAGAGGTAGTCAAGTAGTGTCATGTTATACTGTTATTTATATTGGGAATTAAGGGTGAGATAGATTTAAACCAAATTAAACCTACATCAACTTCATGTTCTTATGAGACTTTGACAGAACTATCATGGTTCAAAGTAAAGACGATAGAACAAGCAACATAACACTTCACATTAAGTCGTGAATTAACATTAGTATGAAAACTAAGGGTGAATTAGATATTAAGTAAGACATGAAGCTTCTTCAAGAAAACATGAACAAAAGTTACGGATCTTCTTTGAAATTAAGCTATCTTGTCAAAACCCTTATTAGAAAAGTTATTTCACAAAGTTAAATAACGAGCTCCGTTTGTTTAAGAGCATCAGGCAAATCCACATAGTTAAATTCCTCGGAATCAAAATCGAACCACCCAAGCTGAGTATGTAAGCCACGACTCACGAGGTTTCATAAAATTTATCCTTACTAAACTAAGGCCTCAAACGTTTGCATCCGACCTATCTTTGATCCTCCAACGGCGATCATTTAATGAATAAACCGCGATTGAAAACTCGGGAAACTTAGGACTAACACACCCGTAAGCAAGCAACTTATAATCCTTACTAGACGGAGCAAAACCAAGCCAATAACCTATTATATATCCCATCGATATAAAATGACAAGGTGGAATAACAACGGACTTTCGAATACAAGGATTATAAAGCATCAGCTCAATCGTGTTATAATGCGTTAAGAAAAACATCAAAATTAATCCATTACAGCTCCCTATAAAAGCGCAACGATCAGGAGTTTTGGAGAATACATCAATTTTACTGAATGTATCGATACTATGAATGCTATATTCACCGTTTTTTATTGCTATCACATACTTGTGTTTGTTGTTGTAATAAGATAGGGTTACCCAAATACAAATTACAACTAAAATCAGTTTTAATAAGGTCTAATAAGTTCAGATAAGTTCAGATCAATGAAAATCATAAGAATAGAACACACCCTTTAGTTTTTATAAGGTAGTTTCTTACAATAATTTGGTAGTTTTATATATATATATATATATATATATATATATATATAAATATATATATATAAATATATATATATATATATATATATATAAAGCTAAACTTTTAATCAGGTCACGAGACAACGACACTTGACGTTCCAACTTTTTTCCAAGTGTCGGGCTACGTTGGATAGAGTTAAATAGATTTCACAAGATTAAAAAAAAAAAAAAATTAGTTTAGAAATCTATTTGGATAGAATTTTAGGATAAAATTGTTGGTTTAGAATTTTATTTTCGATAAAATACCAATATTTCAAATGTACAAATCATATAACTAATATATAAAGCTAAACTTTTAGTCTGGTCACAAAATAGTGACACTTGACATTCTAACTTTTCGCCAAGTGTCGCGCCACCTTGGATAGATTTAAATAGATTCATAAGATAAAAAAATTAGTTAAAATTTCTTTTTTCAATCAAATTAGGATAGAATTTTAGAATAAGATGGTTAGTTTAGAGTTTTATTTTCGATAAAATACCAAATAATAAACTTATAATTAGGCCACAAGACAACATCGTATAGAATTTTAACTTTTCGCCAAGTGTCGTACCACATTGGATAAATATAGATAGACTTTGTAGAAGAAAAAAAAGTTAATTTAAAATTCTATTTTCAATCAATTAAATTGAATTATAATATAATTTTATCTTAAAATTCCATAAACAACCCGGGCATCGCACGGTGCACAAAACTAGTTGAATTATAATTCTATTCAAAAAAATTATTAGATTATAATTCTAAAAAATTATCATATAAATTTATTTTTAATATCATAATAGATTGTGTAGACCTGTCAATTAGGGTCAGGTCAAGAGTCACTTCAAGTTACGAGTCAAGAAATGTTCAACCCTTGCCCAAAGTTTTGGGTTCGGGTCAGCCCAACGGATTTTGAACATTTATTTAATTTATTTTTATTTTTGCTATTTTTTAATGTAATTAAATCAAACATTTCCACCAACATTATTATTAGTCATTATATGCCTACTAGATAACAAATCGTCACAAAAGCACGTCAATTACTAACTAATTTTGTATTAATGATCTTTTTTAAAATTAGACATACACATTAAAAACTTTATCTTAAAATTCAATAATAAAAACCCGGGCATCGCACGGGCACAAAACTAGTATATATATATATATATATATATATATATATATATATTGTTATATGTGTGCCTCGAATGCTCCATGTTGATATATGTTTTAGTATTATGGTGTTTGGAGCTTTAAGCAAAGAAGCATGGAAAGGGCTGACTTAAAATGAGCATATCTCAAGATCTAGAAGTGATATTAAGAAGATTCAAGTTGGAGGTGATAGCTTCATAGCTCTTCTCAAGGGCTTTCCAACGACTGGTCATAAGATTGATTTGGTTAAGAATCGAGGGAGTTATGACTGTTTAAAGAAGTGTTGTCCGCGCAGGGGGAGTTCGACCGAACCATTTAATAGGTTCGGTCGAACCTTTTGGCAGAACTGATGCTCTTTTGATTTCTAGAGTAGGTTCGGTCGAACCTATGGAGGTGTGACCGAACCACACTAAGTTCGACCAAACTCTGGGTTGGTTCGGTCGAACCTTCGAGCCCCTGTTCCAGCGCTGCGATTTCTTCTTTTTTTGCTCGGGATGTAATCTTAACCGTTGATTCATCTTGCACTATATATACTCTTGTTTTTCATTGTAGAGAGTATGAGAGAGAAACACAAGTGAGACTTAGACCTTAAAATTAGCTCACCAAGAACACCATCTTTCTCCATTGTAATTCTTCCTCCATTGAAGAGTAATACAAGCTCCAATCTCCCCAAAAGTGGATGTAGCTCATTTTGAGTGAACCACTATAAATCTTGTGTGTTTTATTTTGTTCATTTTTAATTGCTTTTTCATTTAGCTTTGCATTGTTCCTCAATCAAATTCAAAGTCCCAAAAAGGGTCCTATTACATAACAATTGGTATCAAGAGCTTAGGTTGTTTTTAGGATTGATTGTTTGATTTCTTGTTTTGAGTATTGAGTACTCATGTCAACAATGAAGCTAGACATTGAGAAGTTTGATAGGTCAATTAATTTTGGCCTTTGGAAATTAAAGATGAAAGCTATTTTGATACAAAATGGTGTGCACAAGGCCCTTGATGGGAAAGAAGAAAAACCGTTAACCATGACGGAAGAAAAGTGGGAAGAGATTGACTTGAAGGCTTTGTCGGCTATACAACTTTGTCTCTCAAACGAAGTATTGAGGGAAGTTGCCAATGAAACTACCGCGGAGGAGCTATGGACAAAGTTGGAGTCTCTTTACATGGCAAAGAGTGTCACCAACCGTCTACTACTCAACAGTAGACTCTATGATCTCCGCCTTGAGGAAGGTAATTCACTTAAGTCTCATTTAGATGAATTTTTCTCGATTGTCATGGATCTTCAAAATATTGATGTGACATTGGATGATGAAGATCTTGCAATTTACTTGTTATGTTCATTACCACCTTCTTATAAGCATTTTCGTGAAACTATCTTGTATGGTAGAGATGACTTGAGTATAGATGATGTTAGAGATTCTTTGACCCAAAGGGACTTAATTGATAATCAATTAATTTCTAAATCATCTAATAACTCCAATGATGGTTTGTTTGTGAGAGGTAGAACCTTTGAAAAGGGTTCTACTAGTAATGGAAATGGGGGGAAGAATAAGGGTCGGTCTAAGTCAAAGAAACCGAATCCTAATCGTAACAAGACTTGCAATTATTGTCGCATTAAGGGCCACATTAAAACGGAATTTTAGAAGTGGCAAAAGAAACAATTGGGAAATGGTGATGCTAAGAACACAAAGGGCAAAGACTCTCAAACTACCGTCGAGGCTAGTTATGTTGACACCGATAGTGATAGTGGTGCATTGGTTGCCACTCATGGGAAATTCAATGGAAAGGATGAATGGATTTTAGATTCGGGTTGCCTTTTCATATGACCCCCAACAAGGATTTCTTTAGCTCTTATGAGGAGTATAATGGAGGTAATGTCACAATGGGAAACAATGCTACTTGCAAAGTGATTGGAATTGGGACGGTCACCATCAAAATGTTTGACGGTGTTGTGAGAACCTTAACTAAAGTACGTCATGTTCCGGAGCTCAAGAAGAATTTGATATCACTTGACACCCTTGACACTAATGGGTGCAAGTACATAGCGGAAGGTGGAGTTTTGAAGATTGTCAAAGGTGCTCTTGTGTTAATGAAAGGTTCAAAAGTGGGTAGCTTGTATACATTACAAGGATCCACCATGGTTGGCTCGGAAAATGTTTCCACGGGTACTATGAGTGATAGTGAGACCAAGTTATGGCATTCGAGACTTGGCCATATGGGGGAACACGGTATGTCGGAGCTTTGTAAGCAAGGTCGT